CATACATAGGGGATAGAGCATACCCATGAAAATGGCTTCGGTCACCATTTAAACACACCAAACGTGGGTACATGGGGGGGGGTAGCATATATATATATATGTATGTATGTCATATCTATGTCTCACACTGCTTTGTTATCCTGGACGCGTTCTAGTTCCCAATGCTTACCCTGCATTTGCCGAGGTGTACTCGCTGGAAGGTCCTAAGCCCTAAGCCCCAGACCCTAAACCCTACTCCCATAACCTGATACCCCTCAATCGCCAGAAACATAGATAATCTGTTTGGGGGTTTGTCAAAATTGGGGGTACCATCTTGGGGCCCCTCTAAAGAGGATTATAGTGTTTTGGGGTCTATATTGGGGTAGCCCTAATTTGGTAAACTACCATCTAGGGTCCAGCTGGTAGGGTTCCAGCCCCTGTATGGAATCATTTTCCATGCTCTTCTCCATTTGATTCCTCATTTTGCTAAACCCCAAGCCCCAAAACTTCCAAGCAAGCTCAAGCCTTCTCCAGCCCTAACCCTACAGCCACACAGGACATTTGCTGGCATTTTCTCATTTGATGTGGCCATCCGCATTATCATCCTTCGGATCAAGTTCTGGACGGTGTGGATGCAACTTGGCCTCCACAGCCAGCCTGTAGATCCCAGATGCCCTGTGCTGGTGCTCTGGCGCTGCTGCAGTGAGATTTGCCGCGTTCCGTTTAACACGACCTCCACGTGCGCTTTCTGGTGTCTTGTTGTGTGTGTGTACCCGCAGCCCAGGAACTACATAGACGTTGCTGTCAGCGTTGCACGGCAGCATTTCCATGGGCTTATTGATTGGTACTGAGCTGGCGCCTGCCATCAAGGTCAGCCTTTCTCAGTCCTGCGCATTATACTTGTCATGTGGCTCCGGCTACATTCTCGAACCACCAGAACCAGGGACTCTGCCCCAACAAGTCCAGTGCCTTTCCGGGGTCCGGCCACCGCGTAGCGGCATATTGGAATAAACCACGCAAGTGCAATCAAAATGTGCGCGTGTCCTTGCAAGCAAGCTGCGCTGTACCTATAGTCCCGCTTAAGTAGATAGAATATGGGGTATACGGGGATCTTATTATAATATACCCAAAGTTATATTCTATCTACTTCAGGGGAACTCTAACCCAACAACCCTAAACTTCGATCCCCAAACCCTTAAGACCCCGAGCTCAAATCCCAGAAGCCGCTAAACCCCGAGCTCTAATCCCTAAACCCTTAACGCCCGAGCACTAAACTTTAGGGACTCTCTAAATCATGTAGACCTCCAGCCCAAAGCCAGGGCAATCATCAAACTTGACACCAGATGCCTATTTGGGAATTTCTAGACTCGGATGGTAAGGGTACTTTTGCGGATCCTTATCAGGGGATATGTAGGGCTTGTTCTTGCGCTCTGCAATCGCGAACCATCGAACTTGTTCGCTTCCTGTGCGTGCAGAGATAGATACACACAATGTCATAATATAGTCATTTACGGGTTTGGGGTTCCCTAACCCTAAACCCTAAATGAATCCTACGCCTATTCGAGGGTCTTCGGGTTCCTGACCTTGCAATGGTGCTTACTTAGCAACAGCTACGATAACAGCACCATGATCTTCCGAGGGACATGGGGATCATAACAAGTGACGCAACCCAGAACCCCAAACCCAACTAAACTTTAAACCCTTAACCCAACTAATTTCAAACGGACCTCTTGCACACTGAGGCCACATCGCTGATTGAGATCAGTTTGTCCAACATCTTGCGGCTGCCTGTGTTTCATCTGAACCCAGTGCCAGTCAGGGATGGTATATAGGGTTATGCAGGGGTATATAGGATCATCTGCAACGTGATTGTACTTAATCATTTTTTGTGATGCGACTTGATGCTGTTCGAAGGTGATTTCGAGTCACATCTTTGTGTGCTCATGTTCATGGCTTTCCCACTTAGGGTCTTCTAGCAATGGCCCAGAACGGCCCAGAACTCTTTAAATTACCACATCGAAGAGAGGTTTGGGGTTAGGGTCTAGGGGTTTTCAATCATGCTCAGGTCAAGAGCGTTGCGCCTCAATGCTACCAATGACGAAGTCTGTCGGGTTTACAGGTCTAGGCCCTAGACCGAAGCCCTAAGCCCTAAACCCTGTACCCAACCCTAGACTCTAGCCCTAGACTCTAAATCCAGAACCGGACCATTCCTCCAAACTCTGAAAGTTGAATAATGGACGCTAAGCCATACACGTCTCGGCACATAAGAAGCTGTTCACAATGGACCCTACAGAATACTGAAGATGGACAACGGGGTCCTAACCTAACCGCACCCTTTTTGAGACCCCCGCCGGGAAAATTGTCCAGAAAGATGGTTCGGACAATAGCAGAAGTAACAGCACTTGCGAACATGATGATGCGAAGCCAGCATTCGGCGACTAAACCTGCTGGTGGTGATGAGCATTAAACCTAGTCCTCAGCACTGGCAGCTCGAAAATTACGCCTTGGAATTTGTAGCACTACCCAGAGGACTGCTCCTTATGATAACTTGCCCCAAGCTCGAATCCCCAAATCCCCCCCAGACTCCAATCCTAAAAGACCCTCAACCGTAAACCGTCATTTGAGGTGAGCCCTGTCCTCTTCAGATTGCTCCGCATTGGGAAGCTGGCTCGGGCGATTCGCATGGTCACCATGAGCGCCGCGGCAAAAAGAAAGAGCAATAGTCCTACTACTGGTAGTAGTATCGTGTAATCAGGTGGGTGTAGGTTTCTGGAGCGCTGTTGCAGTTTTTCAGTCTGTAACCCAGGAGGAACATGAACTTGCAATTGTCCTGGTAGGCAGGCATCACTGTCCAACATGAAGCATTCAACGTATTGGTGCATGGTGCACGCAAAGTTGCAGGTGTAGGCAGCGTTCGCAACAAGAGTTGCAACAGTAGGAACAGCCGTCATCATTGTAGTCAGTCAGCCGGCAATTCCAGCACGTCTTCAGAAATGCACCATGGCATGCATAGAAATGGTAGGCGTGGAAGCAATGCCACGAGCAAGTCTCGTTACCACAAAAACGGCATGTCCCCTGGTCTATCCTTGTTTCCTTCTTTTGGGTAGCAGGCTCCTTCATTGTCCCGTGGGCTAGGTAGGAAAACCAAAGCTATAAACAGGAATGATCCTATAGTGTCCTATAGATACTACGATGGATAACACGAGTGTTTCGGGGTCTGCCAGCAACTCGATTGCAGCTACTGTTGCTTCTTCGATTCTTCGACTGCTTGAGGGACCTGCTTTTTGTTGTCTCTGTATCACCCTAGCTTCACGAGGGTTCTCTTTGGAGAAGTGCCAAAAGCAGTTGTGCGCCAGAGTCCTGAAGTTATATGCTAGTGGGTCCATAGCCAATGGGCACACCAGCTTGATCAGGATGTAGGGGTGCAAGACGCTTGAGACTTGACGGCGCTTTTCAAAGTTGTCACTCATGACTTGCAGGCCCGCTTTATGAAATGCTCATGGACCCTGTGTAAGTGGAGATGTAAACAGCTGTTATAACTTTCACATATATTACCCCTGACCTGTCCTGGTACATACACCAGGGGATTGATAAGCAGCTCCTTTGTCCTGCCACAGAATCAATTTCGGTCTGGAATCCTTCCAGCCTACACAATGAAGAAACTGGGACCATAAGGCTCCAAATATCCAGATCCCCCAGCCTCCAGCCCTAAACCCCCCCCTGGCCTCGAACCCCAAGACCAAGAGCACGTGAGGTAATGTCTTGGCATCCCTACAGTTGCTCATCAAGTGCCGCACGCTGATCTTGACAAAAATCCCGTGTCCCCCTACACCCTAAACCGAGGAGGATCTCATAAAAGGGGGCCTTGGTTGTGAAGGGCATTCGCTGCCACCCTTCAAAAGCATTCTTCTCAAAGGGGGCTCCTCCGCGGATGTTGTGGGGACTTCATTAGGTCAGCTGGGGCTTCTGCAAGGTGAGGTTCTTGCTGTTGATGTACGCATTAGGGTCAAGATGCCAAAACATTTGTCTTCAGAATCGGAAAGTATATCAGAGCCCGAACGGTGGCACAGGCAGATTAAGAGAAGAGTTTCACCTGAAGATTACGTTCTGTACGCGAACAATTTTGATCCTGCAGCCGCTCAGAAGGCAGGCCGGTTAATGCAGGATATTAGTTAATGCTTTGAATATGGGCACTATGAATTGAAGCTGATTGCCTCACTTTCGCTTTCTTTTGCTTCAATTGTAATGCCAGGGGCTTGTTTGCTTTTGGCTGCTTAGGAGTCGGCCAACAAGGCATGTTGCTAATGTACTCCATATGCTGGGTGGACCCCCACCCAGTTCTAGTCTTTGTAAGGAATAATTTGAATAATGGTGAGAATACTAGGGTGCTCTTATGTTCCTAGAATACCACTATTACAGGGTGGCAGGGTCCACCTAAACTCTCTCTCTCTCTCTATATATATATATACATACACATACATATAAATACATAGCTATATACACCATAGCCTCCAAGACAGGCGTAGGCGGATCAAACAGTGATGAAACGCCACATCCTGATCCTACGGTCACACGGCTTGCCATGACACTCATCACAGTACTTCTCCTCTGCCGGCTACCCTTACTGGCCACCCTCGTAGCTTACAGGGGCCATTTGAACTATAGTGTAAACTCCTTAAAGGGGTTTACATAGGGGACTTCATTGGGGAGTAGTCAGGGCTGATTAAGGGGAATACTAGGAGTTCAGACTGAAGCTCACATGGGGACTACCTAGGAAAATGGCGTCACTCCAGAGAACTCTCAATACTCACTGCAGGAAGAGTAAGACTGCTAACCTCGTTTCCAAAGCAATGGAAGGCTCCCGTAATTGTCTTGAGTTTAGGGTTTAAGTTTTAGGGTTTAAGGGTTTAGGGCTGCGCTGTACTAATCTTTCTCAGCACTAGGGTCCCTCATCTGTCTGCGAAACCAGATATTGCTCCAAAAGGCTTCCTCACATTCATTGTTGTGTGGGTGGGTGGCCACGAGCACTGAAACCTCAAGTCTCAACAACTATCCTAAACACCGAATCTTCCGCCTAAAGCGTTCCCCGGGCAACTGCTCAACAAAGAGCCCGGACATTGGGTGTTGGTGAAGATTGTGAGTGATAGGCGCTGATAGCATATCGCTATTACTCTTGCGGCTTATTTTGTGATTCAATATTTGTCTCCACCACCCCAGAGGTTCACATTATGGCGCGACCCCTCCCCACAGCAAACCTGCTATGAGGTGCCTGGGTGCCAGTATGAACATGCTCTTTTGGAGCTTCTGCTTGCTAACCTTCGTGCAGTGCGTCTTTGGGATGATTGTAAGCAGCTGGGCAGTTTTTTTGTGCATCAAACATAGGGACCCCGTAAGCTCTGTAGAATCTCATATATCCCTGAAGTCCCCCAGTCCCCCCTCCCCTCATATGAACTTGTAAGGAGAAAGTCTGACCTTCACAGTCATCACCCTCATGATTGTGGACCTTCGTTACAGGTATTGTAGCCACTCTCCTTGTTCAAGTGGTTCTTGCGCCCAGTTCGAACGCTAAACCTCAAGTGTGGCCTTCCTGTCGTTCTTTGGCAATTTCTGCATAAACAATCTTGCGAACACCAAAATGACAAGCGCCACGCACCCTGCCACACTAGGCGAAGTAGCGGACAATGTGGCAGAACTCATGCTTCAGAGTAGGCATCTCCCAGCAGCCGTTTCATTACTCTTGACAGATTGAAATCCAAAGTACAGGGCTCCTTTCTTCTGCAGGACTGAAAGAGACAGAATTCTTACCTGTGTTTTTTTTCTAGCTCTACCACTTGCTCACCTTCACTGTGCCTTGACATGAAGAGATCTTGCGACTGGGCTTATAAGCCGGGCGTACTGAGCTCTAAACCGCAAACCCTTGTTGATTGAGCGGTAGAACCTGATGCACGCTTGAAACATGTTGCCATCGAACTTACTACCACAAAATGCAAGTGGGTTTCCAGTATCTTTATAGATGAGATCCACATTGAGCGCTTCCCCTGTCAGAAACTACAGTTTGAACATGTAATTAACTGACCTTTACTTTTTGGACGCTGCTTGTGTCGCAGAGCTTGGTAAACAAAATGACATAGACTTATTGTTGCCACTCCTTCACTTGCAAAATGAGCTCCCTGAACGGTACCCATTTGCGGTCATGCTTAACAATGTCATCAGACCACAGGTACTCCCTTCCGCCTAGCAAAAGATTACACACCCTCATCGTGCACGTAGCTCTTGTATGTGCGGTGCGTATATATCTGGTACCTCCGTATAGATCTGCCTTTCATATCCTTTAATGATGTGTCGGATTACGAACGTATAGCTCTTATGCGACTATAAGATTATGGAAGACAGATTATGAAAAATATGAAATATTGATACTGTTTATGCTTAGTATTTAGAGTCTAAGATTCTAGAATTCTGGAGGACTCTTTCTTGGAATCTTGGATTCCAGATCCCGTGCTCATTTTCAATATTTGAAATCCAAGGTTCCAAGATTCTGAGATTTTGGGGGACTCTTTCTTGGAACCTCGGAATCCAAACCCCATAATATTGAAAATGTTAAGAATATGTATTTTTTGACGTTTTTGAAATCTAAGATTCCAGGATACAAAGATTCCTTGGAACCTTGGAATCTTGACATCTAAATCTAGATATTGGAAATTACTGTGTTCGATAATTTGTTGTTATTATGGGGTTTAGAACCCAAGATTCCAAGAAAGAGTCCGAGAGAATGATCAAATCTTCGAATCTTGGATTCCAAAGATTAACAGTTCATGTTTTTAAAAACTCCCAGAATCTTAGAGTCTTTGAATCTTAGGTTCCAAGTATCAAAACTCGACATTTTTGACTTTATTTGAACTTTCGGGACCTGGGATCCAACATTCCAAGAAAGAGTCTCCAAGAATTTTTGAACCTCAGAAGCCCAGACTCGAAATATTGTAGCTGAATGTTTTTACGCATTTTTCGATATTTCGGGATCTGGAGTGCAAGATTCAAAGACAGAGTCCCCCAGAATCTTAGAATCTTTGGTTCCAAGTTCCAAGTATTAAATATGTTCGTAGATCAATTTTCAGTATTTTGGAATCTTATCTGAAGATAATTCGCGATGCGTATTTATTCAGAAAATTTTTTTTGTTTTATAATTACTGTTAAGATTTGGTGTGCTATCAGCACATGGCATTGTCATACACTAGTCACCAGAGACATTACGAATGTAGTTAAACAGAAATAGCAATAGGGGAGAAGCGGGGGAGGGGCGTATAAACATACTGCATATACAGACCACTACATGAACGATTTACCCTACATTCAGCCTTAGCAATCTATATCAAAAAGAGATTACAAGGTAAGGGATTTAGATAATGCTTAGTGTAGCTTATTTAGGTTCAAAAAAGGTAACGGAATTAACTCGGATAATGCTTGGAGTATATTATTTGGGTTTCCAAAGAAAATGCTCAAGGGAGTAAGTTGAATAATACTTGGAGTATACTTCGTTTCCAAGTTGTAAAGTAAAGGATGCGGATAAAGCTTGGAGTATATCATTTAGGGTTTCAAGGATTTCCGGAAGGGATTCGGAAAATATTCGGAGTAGCTAGTTTAGGTTTTAAGGGTTCAGAACGGGATTCTGATGATACTTGGAGTATACTATTTTGGTTTCCACGGGGTTAGGGAAAGGCCTCAGATAATACTTGGAGTAGCTCACTTAGGTTTTAGGTCCAGGACGGGACTCTTGCAATACGATTGCAGTACATGATTTTGGTTGCCAAGGGGTCTTTCGTTGATGAGATTGGCCAGGGCCCTTCAAGATGATTACTTACGTGAGACCAACTAATCAAAACAGCCCAGCTCATGTTTTTCTAATGTAAGTACATTTCTTGGCCTCATCCGGCTTAAGATTACTTTTGATTCGGCATGTTGGGAGGCTATGAAGCGCAACCCTGACCTTGACCCTGCATATGTTAGAAGGTGGAGGATGCCAGGAAGGCTTATTTTAGTGGGCTCCGTTTCTGGCCTTTTTTCAAGAGTGACAGTGTTAGATATAAATCTTCATGAAGAAGGCCAAATTCACTGCTATTTACGAATGTGAGCTTTTGAAACTAGGTCGCAAACCAAGAAGAATCAAGTTCTCCCGTACTGAACTGCTAGCATGCTAGAATTAATGCACTGCAAGGTCACTCTCACAAGTGTTTGCTTTGTAGGCATCGCTTCGTAGACATATCCTGCCTTCCCTCCCTCTTTCGTTCTACACGGATTGCTTCACAAATTGCAGTGGCTTTTTCATGGTTTAGTTTCACCTATCACTGCCCGCAAAACATCCTAAAACGGTAGGTCCATTGAGGGATTTAGCGTATATATATATATATGTATATGTATATATATGTGTATATATATACATATCCAGCATAGCTCTGTCATACCACTGTAAGGTAGGTAGAGTCTTCAGTACAGGAGCGGGCTTTCGGATTATCATTCATCTATGTACATATTGCTGTAAGTACGGGAAGGATTCTTCAACTCGTCTGAGGCACCTTATGCCGCGATTTCATCCTGGATGAATCTTATGACCTGGCTTTCAGAGAGAATGTGTTTCGAACCCTGGCAGCAGCGAAAGCTTCTTGTTTAGGGTTTATTCGAGCAAGAATCCGCCCTTCTATCCCTCACTACTGACTACTGTTTGGAAGAAGGCCTAAATAGAGGTCGGCCTACGTCACCACCAGAAATATGAGTTTCCTAAAATAGGGGTCCCCCTCATACTGCTCCAATATAAATACGATCCTTGCTATGAGGACACCCAAGAATTGACCCCTAATCTTTTGGAAGCCCCCAAATCACTAATGTGTCGCATCCCGAGTACACTAATTCCAGGAACGCAAGATGTGGATGATTTCGCTACAACTTATCAGTCCCTTATATAGTTCCTAATAGCAAGACCCATGATGTTTTTATATTCCCCTGGGTACTTCTATGCTGAGACCGCCCAATATTCAATAGTACCATTTGGCCTAGCACCGCGCAGCTTTCAAGTGCATCCCTGGTCAGTACCCTGAGAACAACGCGTGAAAATGTAACTGCTGCTTGCAGGCTATTATGGCACTTTCACGCGCACCTTTCTCACCATGTTTGAGATTTTGTTTGCAAATTGGAGCCCACCGGCGCGTGTGCTCGTGGAGAACTTCAGCGTCTGGATCCAATCATAACAAGGCTGTTGATATGTGTCGTTTTGAGACCTATGATGCTGTAGCAACTTGATCTGCGTCGGCAACGCCCCTTCGAACTTTCCCTTCTCTGCCGTTCGTCCCCCTCCTCTGCTGCCGCCACTGCTGCCGCCACTGCTGCCGCCACTGCTGCCGCCACTGCTGCCGCCACTGCTGCCGCCACTGCTGCCGCCGCCGCCGCCGCCGCTGCTGCTGCTGCTGCTGCGGTTTGTGTTGGTGATGGTGTTGGTGGTGTTGCTGCCGTCTTGCTGATGTTTTTATTGTGATTGTTGGTTGCGGGCCTGGCGTTCCAACTTGCCATGGTTTGTCTGCTCTCCTTTGACAACATTATGGTGGTGTTTGCCGCTTCTACCACGAAGTTGCGGACGACAGAGGCTTGCTGTAAACATGTCGGCGTGCCTGCTGGCGTGGCAGAGGTCATCGCAAGTGTTTGGTGCGAGCAGCAGCGCCTCATGACTTATGCAGGCTATGTGCACCCCGAGATCCAGGGAGTGTCGACGTCCCTGCCTCACACGGATTCGTGGTCTATGTTGGGCCTGGTGCTGGTGTTGTCAACACCCACCAGGAGCGTAACCACAAACTTTTTCAAGGTGTCTCGATCAAAGCTTTTCTCGGTGATGGGTTTTTTTTGCGACAGACACGGCACAGCAGGCCTTACAGGTCAAAGCTGCGTGGGTGACATGGTCCAATTTTCTGGGGTTGCGGGACAATTGAGAAGAAAACTCTACGTTTTCTCCGTTGGAGAAAATTTCGAATGTTCCTGTTAAGTTTAGGGGTAGGCCCAACCATGTTACGCCTTCCCTTGAGATCCCTGGTACACAAGTGCAGGCCATGCAAAAACGTAGGTGCACAGATGAAAAAACTGACAGGCTTGTTGTTTCTTGCCTCCGTCGTGGGCAACCAAGAAGGTCATTAGCACTCAAGCCCTGAGCCGCATGCTTGGGGGTGGGTGTTCCGGCATTCTACGGTGCGCGAGTTGCACGCGGAGGCTATGCTCTGCAAGAAAGCCTGCATGCGTGTCCCCACCTGCGGACACAGCCGAGGGGTCATGGTCTTGACCTGCGGTTCCGTATCTTGTTGACTAATTTGCAGGCTTTCTTTCATCAGGCGGTCAGGAGGCCTCGCAAGGACCCTGCGACCTGGGCTGATAGAGGTTGGCCAGAGGTTCTGCGCCAGTGCCGTTCATACTTTGGCTCGACGTGTGAGGAGGCGTGGAAATGAGTCACGCGGGTACAAATGCAGTGTTTTCATTTCGTCATGGCTCAGCCTGGAAATCAAAAACCCAACCTGAACACTTGTGGGGAGTGCTTTCGATTTGACCACTACCGCCGCAAGTGGCGTCTGAAGTCGAGACACGACTCGTGTGAGTGGCAGGAGTGTCTGTATTAGGGCGGTGGATGGCCGTGTGTCTTTCATTGTCTTGAGAGGCAGCACAAGGTCACCGGCTGCGCTTGATAGCTTGAATGTTAGGGAGGTTGCAGCATGCGCCTTATGTCAAGATTTGCATGCACAAGGTGCTCCCCAGCGGGCACTTTGGAGCATATCTTGTGGTCGTGTCCAGCTTTGGAAGATATGCGTCAATCTGTGTTGGGACAGCGAGTCCCACAGATGACCAACATACAGAAGAAGTTGGCATGGCCCAGTTTGTTCGTCTGATGATCAGGTCAGGGCATGGCACGAGAGCGCGAGAAGAGAAATCCTGGCCAACTGCTACGCTAGGGCGTCTAGTCAGTGAGCTCTATGACTCGGTTTGCTTGTACTGGGGTGGGTTGGGATACGGCCAGTGCATGCTGCGCACACAACTTGGTTGCCACCTGCATGCTTATTGTATTTATACGTTGTTGCCTCTTTCCAGTGTGTGAATTTGTTGCAGCTGTGTGTTCCAGGCTTTTGCCCTGCTGCAGACAAATCTTATTCGCCCTCCCTCCCGCACTACAGTATATTGGCATCGTTGCAGTGGCCCTGGAGTGGTCAAGTCTTCGATTGGCGACAGGCCCTGGAGTGGTCAAGTCTGGGAGCGAATATTGCTGCTTTATCCTAGGTCTTCTGCGCCATGCCGCAGTTTTTCAGGTGACTTGTGAGACCTCTTCTGCGGAAGGGGCGTGTGGCATGCTGCAGGCAGGGTCTCTGCGGGGGCCCTGTCTGCAGTGTGCAGGCATCCGCATTCATTCGAAAAAAAAGGTGTGTGTGTGTGGGTGTGTGTTACTTGCGCGCATGCTTGCTACCATGTAGTGTTTATGTGTGTGATTTTTACTCTCAGTGTTGGTGCATCGCTGCCCACACCCGCCCCAAGCCCAATTGCCAGAGATGGTGCTGACCAAGATAGATGACTCGCTTGCGTCTGACATTGTGATTGCGTACGGTACTACCAATGTTGCTGCGCCAGCTACCGCTGCTGTTTGGTGGTGACGGTGGCGGTGGCAATGGCAGTGGAGGCGGCGGCGGCCGTGGTGGTGGCG